AGCTTTGTGATAATGAAACCAACCAGCAAAAAGCATTAAGGCTGCAAAGACCAACGCACCGATTGCAGTACAATAGAGTTGTAATTCACTAGTTATTCCATATGCTCGCCAAATCTGAAAAAAACTAGAGATTATTTGTATTCCCCGGAAACCTCCCCCTACATCACCATTCAATATTTCTTGGCCTACTATTGGCCAAACCACCTGGACACTAGGTCGAATGTGAGTAGGATCATTTAGCCATGCTTCATAATTTGAAAAACGAGCACCATGGAAATACATGCCACTCAGCCAAAGAAAGATAATGGAGAGTTGACCGAAATGAGCACTAAATACTTTTCGGGAAATCTCCTCTAAATCACTAGTATGGCTATCGAAATCATGAGCATCAGCATGTAGGTTCCAGATCCAAGTAGTAGTATCAGGTCCCTTAGCTATTGTTCTTGAGAAATGACCAGGTTTTGCCCATTGCTCGAAAGAAGTTTTTATGGGATCCCTATCTACCAAAATTTTGACTTTTGGTTCCGGCGAACGAATAATCATTGAGTCCTCCTCTTTCTGGACAACACATACAAAGAGACCCGCCAACATAAAACATAATTCGTGAGTCTCTATTCCTTGGTAATCAAAACCCAAAGATCTATGAACTATTCCGTGTTTGACTAGCCAAGCAGACAAATTACCTTGCATTTTTTGATTTCTCCGGAGTTTTTTATAAGATTGGTATAAGTATTTACCATTTATTTCCATTACAATGAAATTTTGTCAGATTGACTTGCTTGCTATTTCTTATTGTATTTTGTACAAAAGGATACTGTTTAATTCACTTTTTCGTTCGTCGGAGGATACTTAATTTTTTTATATTTCCAAAATGTGTCCGAGGTTATCTCGGAAATAGATGATGGTTGATAGAATAATCAAGCCAGAAGGGGAGGGAGGGGAGAGGAGAGGAGTTATGATAAAATGTATTTTTATTATATTGACAAAATTATCCTCACTTTATTTAATAAATTTTTTAATTGTCTTTATTAATATTATACCTTAACTTTTGTCACCTTATTATAATTCTTTCATTTGTTTAATGACAACTCCATTATTTTTATTATTATGATTCAACTTTTTTTCCATGTGTTTTATTCTATCCATTTTTATTTAATATTTTGCTTGTAACAACTTAATTATTTTATAGTTTGTTGTATTATATTACATATCAATATATAATTGTAGTATGAGTTATATATTATGTAGAATTTAATCTTATAAATATGTTATAGGATTAAATGGATCATCAAGATGAGAAAATGGTTCATATGATCATTGATCATATAATTTGATATAATTTGATTTTATGACGTTCATCAATATTTTATTTTCATTTTAAGCTATTTTAGAGTATTTTAAATGTTAAATATTTTGTGTTTAATTATGTACGTTTTTTATGAATACTTTTTTTTAAAAAATTTATTTAGCATGATTGTTATAATATTTTAAGGGTAAAAAAGTAAATTAGTTTTAAAACCCCTTCCCGCGGGAAAAACATATTTGAATAAAACTTCTCCCTCTCCTCCCTCTCTTATAAACCAAACATAAGTAAAATTAAAATACATCCCCTCCCCTCCCCTTTATTAAAATCCCTCCCCTTCGTTGAACCAAACGGACCCTTAAGGTATTTGAGTGAAATTGAGTGTATTGTGGGTTAGTTTAGTGTAATTCAAGTGTTAGTTGAATTGAAAATTGGAGGGAAGGTTGTAACTGATTCGGGCAGTTGGTTGATGGTTAGGGCAGGTTAGTTATTCTGTTAGGGTTAGTTTGAAGAGAGCTTAACTTGTTGTGTTAATTGGTTAACAGTTAATTAACAGTTAATCAGTTAGGAGAGTTAGTATATTTATTTTGCTTTCTGTGATGACTTTTGGGGCAGGTTTCGATCAAGATTCTGAGCAGCTTCTGACTTTTCTGATTTTTTACCTTCACTTCTTTCATTGAGGTTTTGAACAGCTTCCTCGTCATGATTACTCCGATCTTTATCCAGGCCAGGGAGAAGTTCATTCAGCAATTTGAGTACTTCGTATATCCGATTATAGTGTCCGCCAACAAGTTGTAATGTTGATGCATACCCGTGTCCACCAACAAGTTGTGATGTTGATGCACCGGGTGAAAGGTCAAATGCAGATAATACCTCTCTCAATATGCTGGTGAAAGGTCAAATGCAGATAATACCTCTCTCAATATGCTACTTATATTTAGCTCATATATAGTCCTGAGAGCTATGACTGATCCCGATGAAAGTTTGACAATTAATCATATCAATCCATTATAAATTAATTGGGATAGGCTCGCTTGACCATTTATACTTAAAAGATGTGTAACCGGTTGTATCAATCCATGCTTAGAAAGCTCATCAAGCATTTTTGAGGGAGGAGAAGCTCGATTAACAATTTTGATTGAGCAGGTAGCAACATTTTCAACTAGCTGTCGATTCTCATATAGAAGAAGATTGCATAATATTGGCACAACCTCCATGAAAGGTGTGGGGCTTTCTGAAGAAAGCTTCTTGCATATGTTCATCGCAGTAGAAAGATCAACTTTCTGTATGCTTGTTGAGAGGAAATCCATAAAATTTAAAACAGCCATAATTGTTCTTTCGATATTTTCTCCAATGCTTGAAGACACTGTTCAGCTACGTCTTGATACTCGATCGTCAGTAATCTTTGACATAAAGCAGAAACAACATCATGACGAACAAGAAAACCAGCTGACCGAGGATACAGATCACATATATATCTGGGTTAGTTTCATGCTTTGCTGCTTTACAAGTAGTGGTGATAACAAATCTGAAGTCATGCTGGAGAGTGAACCCCCTGTATAAAATGACAAAACTTCGCGGAGCTCAGTAAGTACAGCCAACTGACCAGAAGGCTCAGTCTGTCCACTCGAGCTTTGTTTTTTTTTTATTTTAAATTTTCCATGATCACTAGATAGTCTCCATCTATGATATTCGTGGAGACTGCTATATTAGTGTTCCTTTTTTACATATGAAACAGATGAAAACAAGCCAGAATTTTGTTCTGCCGAAGGTTGCCAAGAAGTTGAAGCTAGTTGTGGTGCTGTATTGTTGTTTCAGTTTTCAAACAATATGAATCAACCTGACTTGCTTCAATTGATCTCAAGAGATTTTGATTCGGCAAAGCCAGTACTACTTTGTCATAATTTGCTTCCTTTAAGTTAGGATCTGTTCGGGCGGGCCTGATGTTTCGGATTTCATAGAGGTCATCTGAGCTTTCGTGTAGTTTACCGATATCATTTTTCATAGATGGTTGAAATTTTTTTGCAGAATATTGATCAACTGCATCACCCTTTTCTTTGCTGGCGGCTGCTTCAATAGAAAAGATAAAAGAGAACCTGCACGAGTGAAATCCGTATTTCCGAACAGCTGAAATCGCACTTTCTAATGTTTTTAAAGCTGTTTTACATTTGAATTGATATATACATTGCTCTTTCTTGTTGTTGATTCCCTAGCGTAGTGCTTCTTCCCCCATGCCGCCTATTTGTACTAGTGGAGTAGGATTCACCTAACCCCATAAATAGGTATATATAGGTATAACCTTTCGCTTAATACTATAAACCTAAAATTGAAGCATATTGTGAGGCTGCATTAATCGGGAATACACGACAGAAGGGATTGTTTTAAGTTTTTGGTATTATAGTTAAGTTGTTTTTCTTTTAATTATTATTTTTTATATGTTTTAGAATATGCCATTTGCAGAAAGATTTGTCAAAATTTTACGATACATTATTAAAATTTGCCGGTCTCTTTTGTAAATTATGTAGTAAATTAAATTGTAAAAAAAAATTAGCGGGTCGGCCCGCCAACTCGCTAGTAAATGGAGGGTTCGACTTTTGAGTTCGGACGCCTTAGTTGACCTGACGTTTTGGACGAGTTTAAATGGGGCGGGTCTAAACAGAGGGGACCGTCTGATTTGCCACTCATATATATATATATATATATATATATATATATATATATATATATATATATATATATATATATATATATATATATATATATATATATATATATATATATATATATATATATATATATATATATGTGTGTGTGTGTGTGTGTGTGTCACATCACAATTAATTGTTATGTGGGATTACCCAAAACTCATTCATTTTTTAAGATGTTGAAACACGTACTATTTGTAACAATTATTTTGTAATTTTGAAATATACAATTTGCTCCATATATCTCATTATTTATTTATTTTGAAATAAACTTTGAAATTATAAAAAGAGAGAAAATATACTTTGATATATCTACTATCTATCTAATACTAATCTATTGCATGTTTTGCCAAATATGTCCTTTAACCCAAAACATTTTACACTTGCTGCCACGTGTCTCTCCAATATTGGCCTATGAAATCATTTTTCTGTCCCACTCAAAGACACACAATCTCTCTTCCTCTTTCCTCTCAAATCCTAACCACCGCCCCCTTTCTCCCTCGTCCCTGTTTCTCTTTTCTTCCCTCTCTTCCCCGAAACATTATACTGTCGCCGTCCTGTTTCCACCTTATCTGCAACCATCAGTATCTCAAAGATGAAACAAGCTTAGATCCTGTTTGCTCCTGCTATTTTAGTTTTCTTTGATTTGAATGGAGTGAAGGTATATTTCAATATGTTATTAAAGATTTTTGTTCATATTTTCCTATTTGGGATAAAAAATAGTTGTGTTACCTATTTCATATTATGTTATGTTAGTTATTTCTCATAAGCCTTCTTCATCGAAGTTTCCGTTGAGCTTTTTCGAAGTTATAGTGGCTTCAACGCTGGCGTTGAGCTTCATTGTCGTAAAAACCATGATCTTCAACTTCTACGGTAAAAACCTTTCTACCATATTACCCTCGGTTTTGAAATTTTTTTAATTTAGTAATTTTTATTTTATGATTCAATATTAAAGGCTTAAAAAATTTACTAAGTCAACCCGGGATCTCGTCATGCGGTTGCATAAGGTTGACAAAGTTGACGCTCACAATTACCCTGAGGTATGATAGTCATGCGGTTGCATAAGGTTGACAAAGTTGACGCTCACAATTACCCTGAGGTATGATAGCTCATATCATGTATATTGCTTTTGCCATTATATTTTAATGTTACTCCGTTATTGGAAATTCCAAAGGTGATATACCTTTGTTCACATTGATTACTGGTATATACAGAAGTGTGTATGATTCTATGAGCATGTTACATTTAATCTTTGCTTTTGCAGCAACTGATGGCCCTCTAGGAAAGAAATTAAACAACATAAGAACTCGTCAGGAAGTTGGCTGGCTACAAAAATGAAGGTTTCGTTGAGGTTTTTGCTACACACCAGAGTCTTGAGAATCCAAATTGGATCCAGGTAATAAGACATATTCTCCCCGTGGGCAGTTGAACTATGGTCGGTCACTACATGCTTTTGTTGTTAATGTTGCACCAAATGGCATTAGGTCTTTTCCGATTTAGGGCTTTTATTTTACATGATATGATCGTTGGTAGTAGAACAGTAGCGGGTACAGCAGAAGCGCAAAATGACTCAATTAAACCGTGGCCATATACTTTATAATTATTATTATGTAATGTTTCACTTTTATTGGAGTATTTGGATTATCTTATGATGATTCTTTGGGTCTATCATTTATGCTTAATTTTAGAATTAGAAAATTGGTTGGATATGTTTTTGTGTTGTTGAATGTTTGTTAGATTATTACAGGGTTACGTTTTTTACCGTGTTCGTGTCCGTAGAGGTGGTAGGAAGAGGCCTGTTCTAAAATGTATTATTTATGGTAAGCCAACAACTCAGGGAGTTACCCAATTGAAGTTTCAGAGAAGCAAGAATTCACTTGCTGAGGAGCGTGCTGGACATAAGCTTGGAGGCCTCAGGGTTCTCAATTCCTACTGGGTCAATGAGGTTTGTTTTTGTTTTGAAAATAGGATTCAACCTTCAAATATTTTGAGGTCATTTTGGTTGATGTTGCTCACAATGCTATTCTTCTTCTGCAAGTTTATGTACATATAGAAATTGAAGGGGAAAAAAATCAATCTTTTATTTATTTTCTCAATGTTTTAGCAATTGGGTATATGCTATATTTGAATTTGGTAGGGTCAACTGTGAATTGAACGTAATGTTTATTTCTTTGATGATAATGTTTTAGAGTGTTCTTGGCATTATACTTAAAGGTGGTGATGGGACACGTCTTTATCCATTGACAAAGAACCTGGCAAAACTTATTAGTGTGTTCGTTATGTCAGGATTTATAAGAAGCTGACCAAGTGGCATTCTTCATTTTCTGCAGATGCTTCCATCTAAATAAATTAACTTTGTTGGTTACTCATACAAGAACTTAGAAATTGTGGGTGAAAGTGTAATACCTGGAATTGGTATGTTCATATCTCTCTCTTATTGTTATTTTCAATATATTCATCGTTGCAATGTTCTTACGTAGTTCAGGTATGTTTACTCTATCAGCTGAGATAAAGTAATAGTTTGCTTTTAATATTAGTGACACTTGATATCAAGTGTTGAATAATTTATAAATTAAAATAGCGGAGTTTTCATCAAGTAGGGTGTCCCAATTTTATGGTTTGGTTGAGAATGCTGGTTTGAATCCGATTGCGATTGTTACTGAGCTGAGGAATCGTCATGCGCAGGGTGAGATAAATGCTGGAATCAATGTTAGGAAAAAGAGAATGTGGTGTAACCACTGCTTGTAAGCACAAGTGCTAAACCTTAGCAACATAGTGCATGCAGATGATTTTGAAGATTGATGATATTGTGACCGTGAGGTAGAGTTTGATGGAAAGATTGATGATATTGTGACCGTGAGGTAGAGTTTGATGGAAAGTGATGGGAATTCGGAGAAAACTGAATTGTAATATGTCTTTCATACGTGCTTATTTTAAGTTGGTAGTTTATGTTGTTTGTAGTGAATTTGGTTAATCGATTTTGACTCTAGCTGCTGTGTTTATTTCTAAATTTGGGTGCCCTTGTGGATTCTGACACTAACTGCAGTTATCAGAAGGACTTTGTATTGCAAGTTTTCAACAGTTGATTATTTGGTTATGTTTACGTATTAACCTTGTATTTTGGAGTTGAATGAGTGGTTCTTGGAGTTGTATGGTTGAATTATGCTGTTAGGATGTTGGTGGAAGCATCACAAGGCTTGAAAATGGAAACTGTATTTTTTATATATCTTTTTAGTATTTATTAAAACTGGTAGAGATGTTTATGTGAAATATCTATTACTCTTCATACTTGTGAAATCTTCGGCATTAAATCTTCGGCATTAAATTTTGTTGACAGGTTGTCCACTTGTGAAATCTTCGGCATTAAATGCAACTGTTGTCAAATGTTTTTTCATTCAATTCACCCCGTCTAGCTATTTTTCTAACTTGCTTCATACTTTTTATATGAATTAATAGTACAATTAAATAAAATACTTTCAAAACACAATTCACTGTAAAATTGAGTCAGCAGTAACATACTTTATATATATAATTAATTAATTATTTTAATTATACTAAGGACTTGGGAAGATTCCACAAATTAATGAGCTGGTTGTGAAGAATTGTACCAAAAAATCGGGGGAGTTTGCTGATACCCGTTCCAAAATAATTTTAGTAAGTTGTTTATATTTTATTATTTTATTTAATTATTGTATATAACAAAAATTTTTAAACAATATTTAATTTAATTTTTTATGTATGTGTAGTTGTAGTAGGTATTGCTCACACAATTTCTAGTTAAAAATTTTCAGTATATTTCTATTGGTTCAAATTTGATTGATTCAAGTGTGGATCTTTGGAGTTTAACGGAAGTGAGCTAATAAGTGTTTTTTTAGTGTTGGACTTTTTACCACCGACTAGAGAATAAGGGATAAAATTTTATTTCAAAGACTTGAAGATGGAAAAGGGACGTCACGTCTACCAGAAGTGACATCCAAAATGATGGAAACAATAAGACAATTAGCTCTAACTGATGCGAGACGCGAGAATGTGGCATGTGAGGTGGTGCTAAAGGCAGAAATTGAGGAAATGAAGAAGAGATAATCTGAGATGGAGGCGCAAATGCGACAATTTTTTCCCTCACTATCGAACCATAGTTCAATGGGTGAAAATGGAGGAATTGGTGACCAAGAAGATTAAGACGAAGAAGACAAGATATTTAGTGATGATTGATTTTTGTATTGTTATTTATGTTTGAGACGCGAATATCATGCGTCTATAATTTTAATATTTTTTAATGATAATTATTATTTGAAAATGTAATTTTTTTAATCAAATATAATTTTAATTGTTGTATTTTATTTATTATTAATTTATTTTTTTAGCAATAATTATTATTTGAAAAAAAATTTATTAGTTATTAATTTTCGTATTTTATGAAATATTTAGTTGTGTGTTTTACACGTCGATACTGATAGTAAAATTCTGAAGAAGAAAAAAAACATTAGTTGTGTGTTTTCCACGTCGATACTGATAGTTTTGTGGCGTAAAATTCACGTGGCTACCTAGTCACACTAACCCAACTGCTCCATTTTGCTAAAGTGGTATAATCCTTTTTTAGTGATGTGATTAGTTTGCAACAAATTAGTGATGCATTTTTTATGCTAGCAGTATGATCCAATTTATTTTGTGGGTAGTGACGGAAATATCAAATCATAAATTAGTAGCGAATTTTTCACGTAGTAACTAGTTGCCACAAGCGCTCCTATGACGTATTCAGCTACGTTGCTAATTGCATTTTGTGATGTGATATTTGGGTTTGTGTTTATGTGGCTAATGACTGTTTTTTTTTTTGTAGTGAACATAATCTTCATGACCAAAGACAAACACTGTTATCATCGGAATAACCACAATATACTTCCAAATATATTTCAAAAATATATCTTTTTGACTATTTCTTTTTGACAAAATGAGAGCATGACCCAATTCTGCATGAATTTGATGTATTTGAATGTGTCATGAAGTATACTTTCAAGTTCAATGAAATATTTTTGAATTTTCATAGGATGCTTGTCCATCATTTAGGGTGGGGCAAATAATTCCCCCAATTAAGTTAGATTAAGTAAATAGATTTGAACATAAATTTACTGGTTTTTTCTTACAAAACCAAATGTCTTGAACATAAATAAAAAAATTGGAACAATTACTCACATTAGAAGACCATAATTTTCCCATTTGTTTAGTTGTGAAGGAAGGATAAATTGTGAATGGCATAATGAAGTGTAACAAGGTTCTGATATTCATATTGAGAACGTTGAAAGATTGAAATACAAACAATCTAAAATGTGTCACATAAACATATAAAACATGAGCTACATGTTTAATTTCTTTGAGAAGTTTGTATATATAAAGATAAGGAACTCTTAAATTTGACTAAAAATAAAAAGGATTTAATTAGTATTGAAGTCCTTTAACTTAATTTTAAGTTTTACTTTAGTCTCTTATTTAATAAACGTTACATTTCAGTCACTTAAAAATTATTCTGTTAATCAAATTAACCCTTTCCGTTAAATGTTAAGAGACAACGTTAAATTTGGATGATGTGGCATGACAACGTGACAAAAATCAAAATAATGAATCAGTACTTTTGTTAAGGGACTAAATTAAAACTTTATATTTAATTAAGAGACCAGACTTGAAGAATAACCAAATTGTGATTAAAATGTTTATAATAAAATTTCATAATATTTTATCAGACCATAATCTCATAATCTGTTATTTAACCTACAAGAATTTTATATCAACATAATGTTGAATTTAATGATATTAAATTAGAATTTTGTTACATTATTTGATTCAAATTAAAGTCATTAAATTAAAATGACATGAAACATATTCCAAAATAACATAAGATATACACATACACAACTACAAAATGTGTACACAAGTACCAATACAAATTTTGATCCTTTTTGAAGTTTTTTTTTCTTCTTTGAAATTGACTGAGGTAAAAAAGTGGTGACGTAGATTGAATTGATATTTATGATTTTGTAGTGTAAACTCAGTCTTTTTTAATCATCTTGACCTATTTATAAGTTAGAAATAGTATATCAGCGGAAGTTTCTCTCTCAAGACAGCCTCATCAATTTGGATAACACCAATACCACATTTTTCAATATCTTCTACTTCATTCTTGATAACCAAACCAATTTGATAGCATGTCTCAAATCTGCAAATAAAATGAAATATACATTTAGCAGTGTCATTACTAGATAAATGTCACTAGATATATTTTACATGTAATTATGTATTACTATGATAGACTTTATCTTAATATTTGATTTAGTGGACCATTCTCCATCAAATCCATCCATAATGTGTCATTGTGAGATTTATACACAACTTACACTGTGGTTTGCAATTGCACCGATACTAGACATTTATTAACATTGCTTAATTTAAAAAATAAATTAAACTTTCTTATGTTAATATCATCCTTGAGTCATTCTTCCATCAGAGGTTCTTTGCTAGCTAAGTAAGGGCATAAGATCTTTGCATCAACAAATGCATTAAAACATCACAAACTCTATTTGATTCAAAATGTTTTATAGGAGCAAATACTTCATAACACGGTAAGAGACCAAAATATAAGAAAAAAAGATCATGAAGCATTTGAATGTTAAAATATATTGCAATCAATATATTTTCCAAGAGTGTTAAACGAACATGGTATAACGTGCTACGAGACAATAGGCTACAGTAAGCTATTAATTGAACCTTTGGGCTTCACAAAATGGCAAGAGTGACTGAATAAATAAGTTCATTAAAATTGAATAAATAAATTCTACAAAATTGAATCTAAGTGTAATTACGTATACTATGATTTCAGTAACTTGAATATTTTCAGTCATATGACCTAAAATCTAGAACTAAAAGAATAAAGAATATCATCTAAATCTATAAATATCAAGGTTAGATCTTTATAAATTTCTTGAAGAGATTGGATATTCACAAGCATGCAGAGCCAAAATGGAAGTGTATAAATTAATCTAAAGGTTGGATCTTCATAAGTTTCTTGCAGAGGGAACCGATTGTTGGGAATGATGGGTCGGTGAAAAAATGGTTTAGGGATTGAAAAACCTGTTTAAGGGAGATGAGTTTGTGAAAAAAGTTGGAGAGTGTGGTGATGGAAGAGTGATAGTGTAAATCAGAGATTTTCGCATAGAGCGATGGCAAAAATAAAACTTTCTCACATAGAGAAAGAAGGAGAAGAGAGAAACAGGAAGAAGGAGAAGAGAGAGGTGTGCAACGACTAGGTTTTTTCTAGAAGAGAGAAGAAAGTTTTATATCTATTTCATTATGATAAATTGTAACCTCTAATAAGTTATGGGTTAGTTTAATGAATAAGAATTGTTGAACTTGTTATAGGTATTATATGATAAAACTATTTTCAAATCATATAATTAATTAAGTAGCTTAAACAAAAAAAAAAAAGGGTGATTGAAAGTTTGAAACTAATACTTTCAGTGTAGACAATTGTAGAAAAGAGTAACATTGAGCATCAATCAATTCTCCAAGCATATAGAAAATGAAAAAAACTTCTTGCAGGTGAATTATCATCTACTAAGTCTTCATTAGAATCAATAGCACGATGTTCCATGAATCCTGGCTTGAAAATAAACAAGGCAGGGCCTGAACCAAGGTCATTGAACAACCAATCATGCACATCCCAAAGTATTTGTACTGGTAAATTATTGACCATTACAAATTCATTTCCTCTGAATTTCCAATTCAAGTTCATTATTCTACTAGCCAATATCCCATCTATACTAATCCACATTTCTGGATCATCCGGCCCAGAAAGGGACGTCTCGATAACCACATCGTGTTCTGGTTTACCCTCTTCCAACATAGCCTTGATACAAAACAATGTTTTCCCTTCCACATTCTCTTTCTTGCATAACAATGTAGATTCTTCTAAGGATGGTTTTGATTTGGTTCTTTCATAAGCATCATTGTCTAAATCTCCAAGTAACAAAAGTACCTTTTTCTTGTAAATCAAGGCAACATAATAGCCGGAGCTAGGTTGTGGACTATTGGAGAATTTCGCATCTCGAAAATCCCAATAAATATCTACTCTCGACCCTTCTATTTCAAACGATTTCAGACCTTTTTTCCCCCAAGATTGTCCAGATGCTATATCAATCTTGCACGTAAATTTCTCTTCGTCAAAAGGTTTTTCCACAATCATAGAAAGGCTATGTTCTATGAGGTTCTTGCACCATGTCAATGCTACACTACGAAATGAATCTCCTAATTTTGTTTGATACACATAGGTAACAAAATTATGAGGCGTGTATTTCTTTATGGCATTATCTTTTGAAGCTTTCTTCTGTGGTGGTGGCTCAGGAACGCTCAATGGCCCCACTTTAACAGAAGAGTTTATCGTTGATATCGACATCGCCTATATAACTCTGACAACCTTCAAACATTTATGATTTGATATTCCTTACAAATAGAGCAACAATAACAATAAGTCATCGTTATCTTTCACCCCTTGGAGATTCAAAACAAGAAAAGCTATAAAACATTTATTGGTTAATGAATTGTAATGTAAGGAAATTATGCGCATCAGAATTGTTGTAACAAACTGAAATACGCAAAAACCAATAATCGTTTTTAAGAATAAAATATATGCCGAGGTTGTTAGTGAGGTGTCAACAATACAAGTTTCTTCATTTTGTTTTTGTCTTTTAATAGGTTAATGTTTCTTAACTTGAAAAATAAAAACAAGTTGCAATGCGGCTAATTATAGTAAATATCATGTATGGTACATGTTCTTTCAAACTTCAAATACATGTTACTATATATTTGAATACGACAATTACTTATGTTTATCGAAACAATTAACTAGTTGTAAGACCTATTATGCACAAGTTGATTTTAATTACTTGAATAAATTAGTGGAAGGACCATTACATTTTGATATGAAGAAAAATTGAATCTCATGTACGAATATATATATATATATATATATATATATATATATATATATATATATATATATATATATATATATATATATATATATATATATATATATATATATATATATATATATATATATATATATATATATATATATATATATATATATATATATATATATATATATATATATATATATATATATATATATATATATATATATATATATATATATATATTGTTGGTGCAAAGGTGAATAAATGATGAACCGAAGGAATATTCTATTGAACATAATGACGGCTACAAAACATGATGAAAGTTATAATGATTGTCACCCTATTTATGAGGTAAAATTAGAGTTATTAGAATAAGATAAAATACTAAAATATCCTCTAACAAACTTAGGGGTTAAGAAAATAGTACAACTAATAAATATGAATTACTTCTAATATCATCCCTTAATTTATATTCCATCAAAACTTGTAACACCAATTACATCCCTTAGTCTGAGAAATTGATCAGTCTTGATAGCTTTCGTCAGAACATCTGCCAACTGTTTTTGAGTGCTGCAGTGTACAACTTCTAACACTCCCTTCTGAACTTGATGTCTCAGAAAATGATACTTGGTCTCAATATGCTTGCTTCTCCCATGCAACACTGGGTTTCTGGCAAGATTGATTGCAGACTTGTTGTCAATCATCAGCTTCAGAGGTTTGTTTACTTTAATCTTCAGATCCTGCAACAGATTCAGAATTCACACAGCTTGGCATGCAGTAACAACACCTGCAATGTATTCAGCTTCACAGGTTGACAACGCCATAACAGGTTGCTTCTTGGAACACCAAGAAATGGGACCTCCTAAAAATTTGAACAAGTACCCAGAAGTACTTCTTCTGTCAACTCTGTCTTCACACCAATCAGAATCTGAATAACTCATAAGTTCTGACTCATTATTTCCTCCAGAAGGAAATAACACTCCATACTTCAGAGTTCCCTTGATATACCTCAGAATCCTGACAGCAGCTTGGTAATGGGACCACTTAGGTTTACTCATGAACCTACTAACCATCCCAACTAAATAGCAAATATCAGGTATGGTATTGCACAGATACCTCAGAGAACCAACCAACTGTTTGAAGGTTGTAGCGTCAACATCCTTTCCTTCAGAGTCTGAATCCAGTTTCTGATTTGTATCAGAAGGTGTGACAACAATCTTACAATTCTTCAGATTAAATCTCTTTAGAAGTTCTAATTCATACTTGAACTGATGCAAAATGATACCTTTCTCAGAATATCTGAACTCCATCCCTAGAAAGTATGTCATTTTTCCTAGATCAGTCATTTCAAATTCATTCATCAGAACTTTCTTGAACTTGGCTATCTCCTGTTCAGAACTTCCAGTCAGCAGTATGTCATCAACATATAAACATACCAGAGTCATATTGCCTTCAAAAGTATGCTGAACATAAACACCGTACTCCATCTCACATTTCTGAAAGCCTTGCTTCTTGAAAAATGAATCAATCTTCTGATTCCAAGCTTTGGGCGCTTGTTTCAATCCATATAGAGCTTTGTATAATTTGTACACCATCCCTTCCTGATTCTTTCTCACAAATCCAGGAGGTTGTGACACGTAAACTTCTTCTTCTAATGGACCGTTCAGAAATGCAGATTTTACATTTAAATGTATCAGAGGCCAATTCCTGTTAGCAGCTATTGCAATCACCATTCTGCTTGTTTCATGTCTTGCTACAGGTGCAAACACTTCAGAGCAATCCAGCCCAGGTTTCTGTAGAAAACCTCTGGCTACCAACCTTGCTTTATGTTTGCCAATTGAACCATCTGGCTTTAACTTCTGCTTGAAAACCCATCTGACGCTGATGGCTTTCTTGTCTTTTGGAAGTTCTGCCAGCTTCCAAGTCTTGTTTCTCTCTATAGCATCAAGTTCTTCTTTCATAGCCTTCAGCTAGAGCTTCTTCTTAAGAGCCTCTTCTGTACTTATGCGTTCAGAGTCTACTAACATGGCACACTGAATAACTTCTCCTTCAGAGTCTACTTCAGTGTCTTGCAGCATGTCAAATTCTGCATATCTTCTGGGGATGTTTCTGATTCTTTGTGGTCTCTGAACTTATTCAGAGTCTTGAGCTTCAGAATTTCTAGCTTCAGATGGTTGACTTCCTCCCGAGCTTTGACCATCTTCAAGGTCTGGCATATTTTCAGAGTCTTGGCCATCTTCAGAGTCTGGCATATTTCCAGAGTCTGAATTGCCACCAGAATCTGGATTACCATCACAGTCTAGATCATCAGAGTCACCTTCATCTTCTGAGTCTTCTCCAGAGTCAGAATCACTATCAGAGTCAGAATCAACGTCAGAGTTTACTCCAACTTCAGAAATTCTTAACTCTGACCTTTCTTCAGAAGTTCTAACATCAGAATCAGATTGAGACTTATCCCAATTCCAAACTTTTGATTCCTTCACAATCACATCTCTGCTGAATTCAATTTTATTGGTTTCTGGACAATAGAGCTTGTATGCACCTGTACTATGGTACCCTATCAGAATCATCACTTTGCTTCTATCATCCAACTTCTGGCTTCTGGCTTCTGGAACATGTTTATAGCAAACAGAACCAAACACCTTCAGATGACTAACACTTTGCTTATCTCCAGTCCACTTCTGTATTGGAACTATTTCCTTCAACTTCTTCGTAGGACATTTGTTGAGTACATACGTTGCAGTGGCAACAACTTCTCCCCAGAGCTTCTGAGGAAGCTTCTTCTCTTTTAGCATGCTTCTCACCATATCAAGCAAAGTGCGGTTTCTTCTTTCAGCAAGACCATTGTGTTGAGGAGTATAAGGAGCAGTAACCTCATGCTCAATTCCATTCTCCTCACAGAACTTCTGGAACTCTTTGGAGTTATACTCACCTCCACCGTCAGTTCTAAGAATCTTCAACTTCTGACCACTCTGATTCTCAGCCTTCATTATGAACTTCTTGAATTCATCAAACACCTCGTGTTTGAACTTAATAAGGGATACCCATGTCATTTTTGTGAATTCATCAACAAATAACACAAAGTATTTATTCCCTCCAATTGATGCTATTGGAAATGGACCACACACATCAGAATGTACAACTCCTAAGGTATGTTTTGCTCTTGGAGCAGCTTCTGACGCAAATGGCAAACACGGTTGTTTTCCTTCCATGCAAACTTTGCATGACTTTTCAGGCTTCTTAATTGCAGGAATTCCATGTACTAACTTCTTTGAATTCAGATGTTTTAAGCTTCTGAAATTTAAATGACCAAATCTTCAGTGCCACAACTCACTCTCCTTCTCAACACTTATTGCACTAAGACATTCTGAGTCTGCAGTTCTGACATTCACCTTGAATGTTCTATTCCTTCCCTGTTCTGACTCCATAATCAACTTCTGATTGCAGTCATACAACTTCAGAAGATTGTCCTTCATGGTAACTGAAAAACCTTTCTCAATTAATTGTCCCACTCTCATCAGATTGCTTCTGATGTCAGGTACATACCACACGTTCTGAATCAATGTTGTTTTCCCATTGTTTAGAATCACTTTGACATTTCCCATTCCTTCTGCGTTAAGATATTTGTCATCAGCATATCTGATCTTTGTCCTCTTTTCAGAGTCAAAGTCAACCAGCCATTTCTTGTTTCCAGTAAGATGATTTGAACAACCAGTGTCCATATACCACCAGTCTATCATATCCATATCATCAGATTCAGAGGCCATCAATAGCACAGATTCGTCATCAGAACTTCTGGCTTATTTTCTTCTTCTGATTTTCTCTCTTTGTTTGACCAACAATCTCTTGCAAAGTGACAAAACTTCTTACAACAGTAACATTGGATCTTCTTCTTGTCATACTTCTCTTTTCCCATCTGAGCATTCTTTTTTCTATCAGAGGTTGAGATTTCTGACTTCTGACCACCATCAGATCTTCTCCTGGCTTCTGACTGCTTCTGATACCTTCTATCAGAAGTTGCTTTCAGAGCCTGCTGCTCTACTTCCTTTTCAGAAGTTCTCTCAGTCAAACACAACTCTTGCGCTTCTAGACTGCTCTGCAGCTCTTCAATTCTCATGGTGCTCAGATCATTGGAATTTTCTATTGCTACCACAATGTAATCAAATTGAGAGGTAGGGATCTCAATACCTTCTCCATGATTGCTTCTTCAGAAAGAGTTTCTCCACACGCCTTCATCTCATTAGTGATCAGAATCACTCTGGAGATGTATTCAGAAACTTTCTCATTATTCTTCATGTTGAGATTCTCATATTTCTTTCTCAAGGACTGAAGCTTCACCTTCTTCACTGATGTGTCACCACCATAACATCTAACCAGTGTGTCCCACGCAGCCTTTGTTGTCGTGAATCTGCAATCTTCTCAAAAACATTTACATCAACGCATTGATGAATGAAGAATAATGCTTTCTGATCCTTCT